TAAAAAAAAAAAAAAAAAAAAAAAAAAAAAAGTGGATGATAAGAAACTTCTGTGGATTAAAAGAACTTGTTCTAACGCAATGCAAAGAAACTAAGAACTTTGAAAAAAGGTTTGACGAAATGTTAACAAAAATACACAATTTAGAGAGAAATATAAGTGAATTAATGGAGCTGAAAAACACAACACGAGAACTTCACAAAGTATGCACAAGTTTTAACAGCTGAATTGATCAAGCAGAAGAAAAGATATCAGAGGTCGAAGACCAACTTAATAAAACGAGAAGACGAGATTAGAGAAAAAAAAAGGTTAAAAAGGAATGAGCAAAGTCTCCAAGAAATATGGGACTATGTGAAAAGACCTAATCTATGTTTGATAGGTGTACCTGAATGTGACGAAGAGAATCAATCCAAGCTGGAAAATACGCTTCAGGATATTATTCATGAAAACTTTCTCAACCTAGCAAGGCAGGACAATATTCAACTCCAGGTAATACAGAGAACACCACAAAGATATTCCTCAAGAAGACCAACCTCAAGGCACATAATCACCAGATTCACCAGGGTTGAAATTAAAGAGAAAATACTGAGGGCACCCAGAGAGAAAGATCAGGTTACCCATAAAGGGAAGCCTATCAGACTCACAGCAGATCTCTCAGCAGAAACCCTACAAGCCAGAAGAGAGTGGAGGCCAATATTCACCTTCTTTAAGGAAAGTATTTTTTTTTTTTTGAGACGGAGTTTCGCTCTCGTTACCCAGGCTGGAGTGCAATGGCGCGATCTTGGCTCACCGCAACCTCCACCTCCTGGGTTCAGGCAATTCTCCTGCCTCAGCCTCCTGAGTAGCTGGGATTACAGGCACGCGCCACCATGCCCAGCTAATTTTTTGTAGTTTTAGTAGAGACGGGGTTTCACCATGTTGACCAGGATGGTCTCGATCTCTTGACCTCGTGATCCACCCGCCTCGGCCTCCCAAAGTGCTGGGACTACAGGCGTGAGCCACCGCGCCCGGCCCAAAGAAAAGAACTTTCAACCCAGAATTTTACATCCAGCCAAACTAAGCTTCATAAGCGAAGGAAAAATAAAATCTTTCGTGAACAAGCAAGCACTCAGAGATTTCATCACCACCAGGCCTGCTTTACAAGAGCTTCTGAAAGAACCACTACAAATAGAAAGGAACAACCAGTATCAGCCTTGCTAAAAAATACCAAAAAATAAAGAGGATCAACATAATTAAGAACTTACATCAACTAATGGGCAAAACAGCCAGCTAACATTAAATGGCAGTATTAAACTCACATATATTATTATTAATTCTAAATTTAAACCGACTAAATCCCCCAATCCAATGACACAGACAGGCAAAATACGCCAAGACCCATTCGTATGCTACATCCTGACCCATCTCACATGCAAGGATACACAAAGACTCAAAGGGATGGAGAAAGATTTACCAACCAAATGGAGAGCAAAAATAAATAAATAGAAAGCAGGAGTTGCAATTTTTGCTGATAAAATAGACTTTAAAGCAACAAAGATCAAAAGAAGCAAAGAAGGATATTACATAATGATAACAGGATCAATGTAATAAGAAGAGCTAAAGATCCTAAATATATACGCACCCAGTACAGGAATACCCAGATATATAAGACTTATAAAGAGACTTAGATTCCCACACAATAATAGTGGGAGACTTCAACATCAATATTAGACAGAAAGTTAACAACGATATCCAGGACTTGAACTCAGATCCAGAACAAGTAGACTTAATTAACATTTATAGAACTCTCCGCTTTAAATACACAAAATATACACTCTTATCAGTACTACATCACATCTATTTACAGGTTTAAATGAAATATTGTTTGGCTGCTTGTTAGTTATTTTCTTCCCTCATTTTTTTTTCATGTCTCTATTATTAAACACAATTACAGGCATACCCATTTTTAGACTGCATTCTAGCCCGGGCAACAAAGCAACACCCCTGTTCTCTCTCCCTCTTCCTCTTCCTCTTTCTTCCTCTCCTTCATTCTTTTTTTAAATTTATTTATTCTTTCTTTTTCTTTCTTTCTCTCTTTCTTCTTCTAAAAAAGAAAAAAGAAAATGTCTCAGGAAAAATGACATATTTTGAGCTAAATGAAAATGAACATACAACTTATAAAAAATGTCCGGGTGCAGCAAAATTGGTGTTTAGAAAGAAAGTCATAATATTCACTGCATATGTGAGCAAAGAAAAAAGATCTACAATCAATAATTCAAACTTACACTTCAGGAAACTCAAAAAACAAGAGCAAATTAAATTTAAAGTGAGTGGAAGACAAGAAGCTATAAAATTAGAGGAGAATTCAAGGAAATGGAAAACCAGAAATCAATAGAGAAAAATCAACAAAACCAAAAGCGAATTCTTTAAAATCATCAATAAAATTGATAAACAAAAAATAAAAAATAAACAAACAAAAAAAACATTAGCAGGATGTGGTGGCACATGCCTGTAATCTCAGAATCTCAACTACTTGGGAGGCTGAGGCACAAGAATCACTTGAACCTGGGAGGTGGAGGTTGCAGTGAGCTGAGATGGTGCCACTGCACTCCAGCCTGGGCGACAGAGCGAGACTTAGTCTCAAAAACACAAAAAGAAAAAAAGAAAGTTGTTAACTGGAAGAGACATGGTCAAATCCGTGATTTGTGAGGGCCAGCATGGGAGGGGCCTGGAAGGTGAGATGCAGTGAGGCCTGCAGAGGGGACACAAGGGGACGGAACCCAAAGGATTTTAATCTGGAGGCTCATACAGAGAGAGGGCTGAAGATGAGACTTGGTTTCCAACCTGGGTGACTAGGGGGATGATGGGGCCTCCCTGAGTGGGGAAGAGACTAGGCAGTTTGGGGAGCCTCAGAGACGCTCAGGAGGACGTGCCAGAAGCTGGTGGACCCATGGGAGGCACAGCACAGATCGTGGCCTCTAGCATTATTCAGTCCTAGCTTTATATCCTGGCCTGCTGTATTGAAACCCTGTGCCCTTGAGCAGCCTGCAAATGGGAGATGACAAAACCCATGCCTAGAGGATAGCTGTGGACATTAGATGAAGCTGCATGTAAAAGCTCTCAAAATGTACATTCTGCTAGTAAGGGGTCAATAATTGCTAGCTATATATTATCAGTTGCAGATGTGGCAGCTGTGAAGCCAGAACTGGCCTGGAGATGACTGAGGGACCTGTTGGCTTTTAAAAAAAAAACTTTTTTTTTTTGAGATGGAGTCTTGTTCTGTCCCCAGGCTGGAGTGCAGAGGTGCTATCTCGGCTCACTACAGCCTCCACCTGGGTTCAAGTGATTCTCCTGCCTCAGCCTCCCGAGTAGCTGGGATTACAGGCTCCTGCCACCACACCCAGCTAATTTTTGTATTTTTAGTAGAGATGGGGTTTCACCATGTTGGCCATCTTGAACTCCTGAACTTGTGATCTGCCTGCCTTGGCCTCCCAAAGTGCTGGGATTACAGGCGTGAGCCACCGTGCCCGGCCTAAAAGTAAACTTTTTATTATAGGTGCATAGTAGATGCACATATTTATTGGGATACATGACCTGTTGGCATTCATTCAAGACAGAGTTTTGCTCTGACATGCAGGCGGGAGTGCGATGCCATGATCATGGCTCGCTACAGCCTCAAATCCCTGGGCTCAAGTGATCCTCCTGCCTCAGCTGTTGGCTTTTTTTTTTTTTTTTTTTTGTTAGAGATGGAGTTTCGCTCTTGTTACCCAGGCTGGAGGGCAATGGCGCGATCTCGGCTCACCGCAACCTCCGCCTCCTGGGTTCAGGCAATTCTCCTGCCTCAGCCTCCTGAGTAGCTGGGATTACAGGCACACGCCACCATGCCCAGCTAATTTTTTGTATTTTTAGTAGAGACGGGGTTTCACCATGTTGACCAGGATGGTCTCGATCTCTTGACCTTGTGATCCACCCGCCTCGGCCTCCCAAAGTGCTGGGATTACAGGCTTGAGCCACCGCGCCCGGCCTAGCTGTTGGCTTTTAAATGGGGACCGATAGCAGTGGAATGTCCAGGTTGAGCCCAGGAGAGTGTGGAACAGGGTTTGGAACTAACCTGGGCCAGCACTGATTAAGAGGCTTAGGGAAGCAGATGCGGGAAGGAGGGGAGAGGTGGGAGAAGGAAGAGGAAGAAGAGGAAATGTCCCCTAAGGAACTCGAGGAGAACCAAAAGAGGCTGGTGCCAGGGCAGGAGTGGTGGCCGTGGGGAAGGCTGCGGAGAGGCCCAGTTGGCCTAGTAATGGAGTCACCCTTGATTTGGCCAGAGGGTGTGGTAGGCCGGAGGCAGACGCATCGGATGAGGGGTAGAAGGGAGAAGGGTGGAGGGGTGAAGTGAATGAAGAGGGAGCATGGGAGCTGAGCTTGGGTAGCCAGAGGGCAGGAGCCAGCTGGCACCCATCCCAGCGGTCATATGGGGCCTGGGTGGAGGGTGTACTCGACAAAGCAGTGCCTGCACCGAGCCCTGAAGGCAGGGAAGTGACCTCTGCTTGCGAAATAATGTTCAAATCCAATTTTTTGCCACTGCCTCTTTCTGTGACCTTGAACGAGTCATTCATCTTGTCTGAGCCCCAGTTTCCTCACCTGTGAAGCAGGGATAAAAGCAGTCGCTATTTACCGGAGTTTTCATGAAGCTGCCCTTGGGGGCACACAGTAACCACGTCGGCCACCAGTCCAGGACACCGCCCGCTTTAGTCCAAGCCCCGCCCCAGACCCCCGAATTCACCCGGCCGCGCGCACTAGCCACGCCACGAACTGGCCCCGCCTTCACCTGGCTCCGCCCCGACCGATGAGCCCTGTCCCACCTGCCACTCCCACTGGCCACGCCCCCACCTGGCCACGCCCCTGTTGCCCAGGTCTCTCTCCCCGCACTCTCCGCGGAGCCCAATCTGGGACCGACGCGCCTCGCCGCTGGCCGCCGACCCCGGCCCCTGCCCCCGAGCCCATGGAGGCGCCGGGACCCCGCGCCGTGAGGACTGTGCTCTGTGGCGGCTGCTGCTGGCTCCTCCTGTGTGCCCAGCTGGCTGTGGCTGGTAACGCGCGGCAGGGTCTGGTTAGGGGCCCGACAGGGGCTGGTGGAGCCTGCCCCTCAGCCAGCCGCCTCCCCAGGAGCAGCCTGGGCTTGAGGGGAGGCGGCTTTCCGGATGAGAGCAGGCCTCCAGAGGTGGGAGAGGGGGCTCTAGCTCTGTGTGGAGCCCCCTGTGTAAATATAGGCCCCAGGTATGGGGGCCTAGGGAGCTTCAGGTGGTCTGGGGGAGGAATCTCCAACTGACTCTGGGAACCTCAGGTGTATGCAAATGAAGGGGCCCTGGGTGAATGTGGGGAGGCTCTAGACGTGTGTAGACATGTTCTGTGGGAGCTCCAGGTGTGCGCTGGGGCTTGGGGATCCAGGGGCAAGTGTATGTGAGAGCCCAGACGTGTGCAGAGGGGCAAGGGCCTCTGGAGTGTTGAGTCAGAGGATGGGCGAGTGCCACAACTTGGTTTCGAGGAGTTGCTCCCTTCCCATTCTACCGCACTCCCAGGTAAAGGAGCTCGAGGCTTTGGGCGGGGAGCCCTGATCCGCCTGAACATCTGGCCAGCGGTCCAAGGGGGCTGCAAACAGCTGGAGGTCTGTGAGCACTGCGTGGAGGGAGACAGAGCGAGCAATCTCTCCGGCTGCGTGTGGGAGCAGTGCCGGCCAGAAGAGCCAGGTATGGAGCTGAGACCCCCCCAGGTTCAGTGCCCCCAGCTCTGAACCCCAAGGCCCTGGCCCCTCTCCCCAAACCTCTCCCCTGCACCTTCTCCCACCAGGACACTGTGTGGCCCAAGCTGAGGTGGTCAAGGAAGGTTGCTCCACCTACAACCGCTCAGAGGCATGTCCAGGTAAGGGGGTTCTTGAGCGGAAGCCAAGTTGCATGAGTCTCCCCAGCCACAGCCTGTCCCCCAGGAGGAAACAGCCTCTCTTGGGGAGTGGACTATGCTCACCAATACCTGGGCCCAGTATCACTTCTGCCTTTAGCTCACTGAGAAGTCCCCTCCTCTCTCTGCCTGTTTCCTTATCTGAAAATCCGTACAGGTGTGTGGAGGGGATGGGAGCGTTAGCTCTTCTAGTTTAGGCATAGCAAGGACTTTGGAAGTTCAGAGGGAATGAGAGGGGGTGCTTCCTGGAGGAAATGGCATCAGCGATGAGCCTCAAATGTAGAGATGGAGAGAGCACATCTGGTGGAGGGAATTGTGTGATTGAGGCTTGATTGAAGTATGTTGGATGTCTGGAGTGGGGACAGGGCTGCATCGGAATGGAAAGTTTAATGGTGAGTGGGGTCTGGGGTCTTGATGGGGGAGTCGGAGGTAGGAAGGCTGCTTTCTTATGAATTCCCTGTCTCCTTAGCTGCTCACCACCACCCCACCTATGAACCGAAGACAGTCACAACAGGTGGGTACTTCCTGGGGCCGGGGGAGTGGGAGGAGCAGAGGTGCAGAGGAAGACAGCTCTGGGCTCAAGCACCAATATGCCCTGTGACCTCGGCCCTGCGCCTTCTCCTTTGGAGCCTGTCTCTGCATCTATAAAATGGGTTGAATGATGCCTTCCTCACAGAGTTGCTGTGTGGGTTTTATGAGAAGTTGTACGGTGCCCACTTCAGTGTCTGACTCACTGAAGGCGATCAAGAAATGACAGTTCCCATCCCTCCTCCCCATCGCCAGTTCTGGGAATGCAAGATGACTCCTAGGGATTTGTCTTTGGAGGTGGGGGTGTGCAGCTCAAATTGCACAGGAGACATCCTCGGTGCCCACCTACTGCACCCTCCAGACCCAGAGAGGGTCACAAGGCAGATTTCTGGTAGAGCAGAGGAAAGAACCCCACCCCTTGCTTCCCACTGCCTCTCAGAGGCTGGAGGTCACCAGACTTGGCAGGGATGGCTGAAGAGGCCCTTGGTTAATTAAAGCCAGAAACCGATCTCAGAAGCTGAATTATTGATGGCTCACCTCCCTCAGCTGGAGCCCCAGATCGGCCTCATGCAGCTCATTTCTCCCTTCTTCTGCTCCTCATCCCCCAGCTTCCTTCTCTGGGGCTCCCTGAGCAGGAGCTGGGACCATTGTTTGCCCTTCATATTCTCAGACTCCTTCCACCCCTTATACCTTCTGGGAAATGGTCCCAGCTGAGGCTATACCCTTTCCACTGTCCCAGAATGATGTTCCATCCACCAGCCCTGCCCTGCTCTGGGCACCTGGCGCAGGGCCTGAAATCGAATACCTGCTGGGAGTGGACAGGTACCGTGGCACAGCTGGGAGCCACCAAGGCATAGCCTGGCAACTGTGACCCTAAGGCTTTACCCTCCATGAGGCAGAGGAAATGGTCAGGGGACCCTGTGTGTGTCCTGTGAGGTAACTTTGGCCAAGCTTGTCCCTCAGCTGTATTCCCCCTAACACACGCTGTCCAGTCCCCACCCACCCACTTAGCAGGGTGAGAGTTGGGGCCTCCACTTCTCCCCCTGCTTCTTCCTTCTCTGAGGGCTCTGACATTGGGTAACACTGGGGTCTCAGGGCTTAGGAATCCTGAAAAGAGGCTATATCATCTCCATCTTGGCTCTGAACCCTGAGGTCCAAGGCTGAAAGGAATTCTGAGTGGGGTCTGGATGTCTGAGTTCTGGATCTGTCCTCACCCTATTGGGCTAGTGAGGCCCAGGGAGGCTGGGAGCTCAGTCACTCTAGTCCAAGCCACCTATTGGACCCATGTGATCACAAGGGCCAGAGAGAATGGGCATGGCATAAAAGCCACAGAGCTCATGCCTGTAATCCCAGCACTTTGGGAGGTGGAGGTGGGTAGATCATGAGGTCAGGAGTTCGAGACCAGCCTGACCAACAAGGTGATACCCTGTCTCTACTAAAAATACAAAAAAATTAGCTGGACGTGGTGGCACGTGCCTATAATCCCAGCTACTCAGTAAGCTGAGGCAGGAGAATCACTTGAACCTGGGAGGCGGAGGTTGCAGTGAGCCGAGATTGTGCCTCTGCACTCCAGCCTGGGCACAGAGTGAAACGCATCTCAAAAAAAAAAATGCCACAGAGCAAGCCAGGAGCAGAACCAGGGCTGGACAGTGCCTCACCCTCCCACACCACTGTCCCTCCCACCAGGCACTTCCCAGCTGCCTGTGGGATCTGGACTAGACTTCTGAGCACAGGGTTTAAGGACCCCATATTGAGGACCAGGGCCTCCAGGTTACCTGTGCCGGTTATAGGGTGGGACTGGGATTCCGGTTCACAGTGGCTGCTATGATCCCTACCCTGCCTCACCCTTGCAGGGAGCCCCCTAGTCCCTGAGGCCCACAGCCCTGGATTTGATGGAGCCAGCTTTATTGGAGGCGTCGTGCTGGTGTTGAGCCTACAGGCAGTGGCTTTCTTTGTGCTGCGCTTTCTCAAGGCCAAGGACAGCACCTACCAAACACTGTGAGTACCTGGCCAGCAGCGAGTACCTGAGTCCCAGCTCACCTCCTGGCTCCTGCCCGCCATTCCCCTTCAGTACCCAGGGAGCTGTCTCCTCCATGGACAGCCCTCAGGAAGGTGACAGCATCCCCCATGTGAGCCACACCCCCTTTCTCTCCTGCAGTTGGGAGGCTTTCTCTGTCCGGTGTTGGCTGGGACCAGGACTTAGCCTGGGCTGGTGTCTGGGAGCCCAGCTGAGCCCACCTGTGTCTTTTCCCCTCATGCTGCCAGCAGGGAAGAGAACCAGTAGGTACCAGCCCAGGCAAGCCTGTGGCCCACATTTCTGTGGCTGTGGGCAGGAGCCGGGCTGTGTGTCTAGTTTGGATTTGCTCTGGAAGGGAGCTGTGCCTGGGGCCCTCTGTGTGCCGTGTGTGCTGTGGGGTGGGTCGTTGCAGCCTGTGTTAAAGTGTTTGTTCTTCCTCTGCTGTCTCCCCTCTGGAGGCAGGGGGTCCTTGGCTGGCTAAGGCAGGGTCACCTTCCTCAGTGTCCTCTGTGGCCTCTGCAGAATCTGACTCTCTTGGGCCTGGACTCCATCCTGAGGGGAAAGGAGGATGCGGAGGCTGGCCTCTTGGCCCCCTTGTGGGCAAGCAGGAGGCGGGGGTGGGAAAAACTCTGGCCACAAATTTTTGGCTCCTGCGGGCACCAAGCAGGCTCAGTGCGCAATGCCTGACATCTCCTCCTGTCCTCGGCCTGGAACCCACAGCTGAGAACATCCCTCAACCGCCTCATCTCCATCATCCCTGCTGGGCCCCTCAGCCTGGCACTGGGTTGTGTGCCTGCCTCTTCCCACCAACTGGCCTGGGTATTGCCCCCAAATAAAGGAACTCTGCACTGCGCTTCATGTCCTGTGTTGGGCTGTGTGTAGATTGGATGGGGGGAGAGTATGGCCACTGTCCTCTTTTTGACAGGAATTCCATCTAGGACTGTTGCTGTCACCTGTTAAAATATTTCTGGCTGGGCACAGTGGCTGACGCCTGTTATCCCAGCACTTTGGGAGGCCGAGGCGGGCAGCTCACCTGAGGTCAGGAGTTCAAGAACAGTCTGGCTAACATAGTGAAATCCTGTTTCTACTAAAAATACAAAACGTTAGCCAGATGAGGTGGTGCATTCCTGTAATCCCAGCTACTCAGGAAGCTGAGGCAGGAGAATCACTTGAACCTGGGAGGCGAAGGTTGCAATGAACTGAGATCGCACCATTACACTCCAGCTTGGGCAACAAGAGCGAAACTCCGTCTCAAAATATATGTATTTTTTCATCTTTGACACCTGCTTAACCCCACTCTCTCCCCCTTTACAGATGAGGGTACGGAGACTCAGGTAAGTACATGTGCTCAAGTCACACAGCTGGACAGAGCAGGGCTGGGGTTTCAATTCAGGCCTTTCTGGGCCGGGCGTCCTAGCCCATGCCTATCATTTCAGCCCTTTGGGAGGCTGAGGCAGGTGGATTGCTTGAGTCCAGGAGACCAGCCTGGGCAACATAGTTGAGACCCCATCAATAAAAAGGAAAATAATAAAAAATAAAATTAATTCAGACTTTTCTGACTCCAGTGAGCAGAACTGCATTCTGGAGGCATCTCCAGGCTCTCTCGGCCTCCTGCAGTTAGGTTTCTGCCCAGTGCCGAGGTGGAAAGGCCCCCTGGGACTCCGGAGCAGCCATTTCTGGCCTTCCTCTCTCAGGATCTCTTGGGAAGCCCCGCCTCCTGTCCCCGGGCACAGAAGTCTTCCCTGATTTCTCTGACGCTTGCCGGAAGCCAGGCATGTAGCTGCGAGTCTTAAAACTTTTTATTTACTTTTTCTTTTCCTTTTTTTTTTTCTGAGACAGTCACGCTATGTCACCCAAGCTAGAGTAGAGGGGTGAGATCTCAGCTCACTGCAGCCTCCACCTCCCACTGCCAACCACAGTCCACCTCCTCACCCCCCTCACACCCTCACTTCCGCCAAAGCGCCCAGCCTCTGGAAATCAGCCTCGACTTTGTGCACTCCTCCAGCTCCCTAGAGCCCTGCTGCCTCCCCCATCTGCCTTGCCTTCTCTCTTCTCTAGGCTTCCACATGAGCAGCTCCTCCTGCCTGGGCCACCCTGCCCTTGTTTCTCCCCCAGCACAAGTTTTCTTCTTCATCCTCCTCCTTCATTGGATGCTTTCTTTTTCTTGCAAAAGTACTAAATGCCTGTGAGGATTTGAAAAAGGACTATACAGAAGTTTATATGAAGAATGAGAATCGGGCTGGGTGTGGTGGCTCATGCTTGTAATTCCAGCACTTTGGGAGGCCAACGCAGGAGGATCACTTGAGCTCAGGAGTTGGAGACCAGCCTGGGCAGCATGGCGAAACCCTGTCTCTACTAAAAATACAAAAATTAGCCAGGCGTGATGGTATATGCCTGTAGTCCCAGGTACTCAGGAAGCTGAGGTGGGAGGATCACTTGAGCCCAGGAGGTCCAGGCTGCAGTGAACCAAAATCATGCCACTGCACTCCAGCCTGGGTGACAGGGTGAGACCCTCTATTTATTTAAAAAAAAAAAAAAAACTGGCTGGGCATGATGGCTCATGCCTGTAATCCCAGCACTTTAGGAGGCCAAGGTGGGCAGATCACAAGGTGAGGAGCTCAAGACCAGCCTGGCCAATATGGTGAAACCCTGTCTCTAATAAAAATACAAAAATTAGCCGGGCGTGGTGGTGGGTGCCTGTAGTCCCAGCTACTCGGGAGGCTGAGGCAGTAGAATTTCTTGAATCTGGGAGGCAGAGGTTGCAGTGAGCGGAGAATGTGCCATTGCACTCCAGCCTGGGCGACAGAGTGAGCCTCCATCTCAAAAAAAAAAAAAAAAAAGAACTGGCCAGAAGGTACAGTGGCTCACACTTGTAATTTCAGCACTTTGGGAAACTGAGGTGGGATGATTGCTTGAAGCCAAGAGTTTGAGACCAGCCTGGGCAATATGGTGAGAACCCATCTCAACAAAAAATAAAAATTTAGGCCAGGCGCAGTGGCTCACACCTGTAATACCAGTACTTTGGGAGGCTGAGGCAGGTGGATCACTTGAGGTCAGGAGTTTGAGACCAGCTAGACCAACATAATGAAACCCAATCTCTACTAAAAATATAAAAATTACCTGTACATGCTGGTGCACACCTGTAATCCCAGCTACTTGGGAGACTGAGGCAGGAGACTCACTTGAATCCAGGAGGTGGAGGTTAAAGTGAACTGAGATAGAGTCACTGCACTCCAGCCTGGGCAACACAGCAAGACTGTGTCTCAAAATAAATAAATAAATAAAAATAAAAATAAAAATAAAAATTTAGCCCGGTGTGGTGGCTCTGCCTGTGTGTGGTTCCAGCTACCTGGGAGACTGAGGAGGGAGGACTGCTTGAGCCCAGGAGGGGGGCGCTGCAGTGAGCTGTGATCGCACCACTGCACCCCAGCCTGGGCAACAGAGTGAGATCATGTCTCAGAAAATAAATAAATTAAAAAAAGTGAGAACTACCCCTCTCCCTGGTCCTACTCTCCAGAATAGCCACAATTCACAAAGTCTGTGTCAGATCTTTTTCTGTGAATTTACAACATCTATATACACACACCTCTAGCATTTTAAAAATATGAAGTGGAATAACGCTGTGCATACTGTTCTGTACTTTGCCCCTCTCATTTTAGATCAGACTCAACTCACCCTATGACTTGTCTGAACGGCCCTAACTCATGTGAATTCCATCAATGGCTGGCTGGGTCATTTCCACGTTGATGCTTACAAATAGCACTGTGGCAAACAGGCTTGTCTGCAGATCTTAGCACACTCGTGGGACAGTCTGAGGAAGACAGATCCTAGAGCTGGAATTGCCGAGTCTCAGGGCATCCCTCTCATGGACACATTCTATTGGGCAAACACAGCCTCCACTTCCCCTGACGTCTCTTGCACCTCAGCCCTCCCCACAAACACCAGGGAGGTGAAGAGCGGGCCTTCAGGGAGCGTTTGCTGAATGAGTGAATGAACGAATGAGCCCTTCCTCTCCTCCCTTATCACCTGAGGTCCCTCTCCAGCTCAGGCCTCATCCTTCACATCTGGACCCTGGCTGCCACATCCTTGCTGGCCTCCCAGGCTCCCTGCATCGGCTTCCCGCCCAATTGCCTACATTAGCAGCTGTTTCCTAGGCTTTATGGAACTCAAAATTGAGCATGGAGTCACTTTCTTTTCTTTTCTTTCTTTCTTTTTTTTTTTTTGAGATGGAGTTTCGCTCTTGTGGCCCAGGCTGGAGTGCAATGGCCCGATCTTGGCTCACAGCAACCTCTGCCTCCTGGGTTCAAGCAATTCTCCTGCCTCAACCTCCCGAGTAGCTGGAATTACAGGCATGCCTCACCACACCCGACTAATTTTGTATTTTTAGTAGAGACGGGGTTTCTCCATCTTTGTCAGGCTAGTCTTAAACTCCGAACCTCAGGTGATCCACCCACCTCAGCCTCCCAAACTGCTGGGATTACAGGCTTGAGCCACCGCGCCCAGCCTGGAGTCACTTTTTTTTTTTTTGAGTCGGAGTCTTGCTCTGTCACCCAGGCTGGAGTAGTGCAGTGCCACAATCTTGGCTCACTGAAACCTCTGACTGCCTGGTTCAAGCGATTCTCCTGCCTCAGCCTCCTGAGTAGCTGGGATTACAGGCACCTGCCACCACGCCCAGCTAATTTTTGTATTTTTAGTAGAGACAGGGTTTCACCATGTTGACCAGGATGGTCTTGATCTCCTGACCTCGTGATCCACCTGCCTAGGCCTCCCAAAGTGCTGGGATTATAGACATGAGCCACTGCATCTGGCCTGGAGTCACTTTCTCAATGGTGCTTTTCCCTGGTTGGGGCATGGGACTTGGGTAAAAGCTCTGTGGCTCTCAGCATACAAGTGCCAGAGAGAACAGAAGGCATGTCCCATCCTGGCCCTCAGTCTCTCTTTCCTTATTCATTTAACTCCTTTTTGTTGAGCACCCATTTTGTACCAGGCCCATAACACAATAATAAGGGCTAAGAGCGAGTCTGCATAAGGATTGGAGGTGACATCAGTATGATGCTGCAATGCAGTAGCTGCCCAGTAAATGGTAGCAGCAGTCACTATTCATAGCATTGACAAGGATCAGGGAAGGATTCCCAGCAGAGACTGTTGTAGAGCTGGACCTTCATGGACAGATGAGGCTTCACAGGTAGAGATGACTGTGAACGTAGAGGTCTGGAGAGGTGGCTGGGGAACCCTGAAAGCCAGGATAAGAAGTTGGACTCCAGCAGGGCGTGGTGGCTCATGCCTGTAATCCCAGCACTTTGGGAGGCTGGGATGGGTGAATCACCTAAGGTCAGGAGTTCAAGACCAGCCTGGCCAACATGGCGAAACCCCACCTGTACTTAAAAAAAAAAAAATACAATAAATGAGCTGGGCATGGTGGCAGGCGCCTGTAATCCCAGCTACTCAGGAGGCTGAGGCAGGAGAATCACTTGAACCTGGGAGGCAGAGGTTGTAGTGAGCTGAGATCTACTCCAGCCTGGGCAACAAGAGTGAAACTCCGTCTCAAAAAAAAAAAAAATTGGACTCCATCCTAGTTGGATAGGGCAGGGATAATGCCCTTTCTCTCTGGGGCTGTGGGAGGAAATACCGCCACCCTCTGCTGGCTCCAGTCTGGGTGGGGTGTCTCTGGAGGACAATGGGAGGAAGTCTTGCTGCATGTCCTCCCACCACCCTGGATCCCTTATAATCTGGCATCCTTCTCCCAGTGGCCCCAGCATGATGGGCCTACTACGGATCCTGCTCTCCCTGTGGCTCCTCCTGCTTGGGGGGCCTGCCTGCCTAAAGACCCAGGACCACCCCAGCTGCCCAGGTAGGCACCTAGGGTGCCCTCCTCACCAAGCCACTCCTCATTCCCTCCCTGGGTGTCCCCTGACCAAGGCTCATCAGCCTCAAGCAGCAGGGTGGGAGTTTCATAATCTGGGCTCTGCATGTAAATATATGCAAATGAATGTAAAGCATGTGAAAGCTTGCTAGCTCAGGAGACAAGCATCCTGACAGTGGGAATCTGAGAAACAGGAAGAGAACTGCAGAGGGGTCTGGAAGAGACAGCCCATCCTGTGCCCACTCTGCCTGTGTCTCCCTGTAGGACCCAGGGAACTGGAAGCCAGCAAAGTTGTCCTCCTGCCCAGTTGTCCTGGAGCTCCAGGAAGTCCTGGGGAGAAGGGGGCCCCAGGTCCTCAAGGTGAGAGAGGTGGGGAGTGGGCTGGGAACGGGGAAGGCAGGAATGCAGCAACTTCTGTCTGTGCTGAGGGGCCACCACAAAGGAGCAAGGAAACTACTCTGTGCCAGCTCCAGGCTGGGCACCCCGCATCCTAAGATCAACTCTGCCAGGTAGGTGGTTTCATCCTCATTCTGCTGAGGAGGAAAGGGAGGTTCAGAGAGCATAAAATATTTACCCACAGTCACAGAGTGAGTGAAGGGTGACACTGGCATTTGACCTCTGGCTCCAAGTCTCCTGTTTCTTTTTGGTCCTGGGCATGGGGTGGGACTTAGGGCATCTGTGCCTCTGACATTTCAGGACAACCTGGACCACCTGGCAAGATGGGCCCCAAGGGTGAGCCAGGTGAGTATGTGGGGCTGGAGGCCTCCCCCCTTTCTTTGCTTCTGTTCCTGGACTCTAGAGTGGGGTCTCTGCTTGGCTGCTGCGCCTATCATGGCCTTCTTACAGGGGAAGGGAAGGCTGGGAGGACGGGGAAGAATTGGGAGAAGGGCCTGGGTACCCTATGATGGTCCTCCCATGGGGGACGGAAGGCTGGGAGGAGTGGGGAGGATTTGGAGAAGGGCCTGGGTACCCTTTCCACTGGTGGTTCATGGGCACTCCCATGGGGATGCTCAGACCTCTCAGCCAACTCTTGATTCTTCTCTGGGGCAGGAGATCCAGCAAACCTGCTCCGGTGCCAGGAAGGTGAGGCAGCCCTCGCAGGAGCCAGGAACTTGGGATCACGCCGTGTCGGGTGTTGGCGGACCCCCAAGTGTGGCCAAGCCCCTCCCCACAGCCTCCTTAGAACCGCTCTTGAGGGACCTGAAGAAGCCAAGAGGGCCCCTAGAGTCCCGCACTTGTTCCAGTGCCTGGTGGTGGGGGTCGGGGAATAACCTGGGTGCCCCCTCCCTCAGCCCATCTCCTCTTTGCCAGGCCCCAGAAACTGCAGGGAGCTGTTAAGCCAGGGTGCCACCTTGAGTGGCTGGTACCATCTGTGTCTACCTGGGGGCAGGGCCCTCCGAGTCTTTTGTGACATGGACACCGAGGGGGGCGGCTGGCTGGTGAGTATCGGAGAATGGCCCAGTGATCACTTCTCCCCGTTGGCCCCTAGGAAGCAGGCCCATCAGAGCAGGCATTTCCTAGAGGAATTCACTGACAAATGTTTAGTGAGATTCCAATGGGTCCTGAAGAAGTATGAGGGCTTCAGAGAGGAGGTGCCATTTGAAAGGACCTTGAGTCGAGTACAGTAGCTCACGCTTGTAATCCAGGCTACTCGGGAGGCTGAGGCAGGAGATTCGCTTGAACCTGGGAGGGAGAGGTTGCAGTGAGTCGAGATCCAATCCCTCTTTGGCCCCAATTCAAAGAGAGAAAAGGTGTCCACACAGTTCCTGCACCCTCAGCTACCCGTGCCCAGCCTGGAGTAATAGCTGCTGTGCCCCCACTCCTCCCTAGGTGTTTCAGAGGCGCCAGGATGGTTCTGTGGATTTCTTCCGCTCTTGGTCCTCCTACAAAGCAGGTTTTGGGAACCAGGAGTCTGAATTCTGGCTGGGAAACGAGAATTTGCACCAGCTTACTCTCCAGGGTGAGTTCCCAGCAGAGTCTGGAAGTACTGTCTGCCATCCTGAGTCCCTGCCTCAATCCCCGGATCTGAGGATCACTCCATCCCTGCCTCGCCCGCTTCCAGGTACCTGGGAGCTTCGGGTAGAGCTGGAAGACTTTAATGGCAACCGTACTTTCGCCCAGTATGCAACCTTCCGCCTCCTCGGGGAGGTAGACCACTACCAGCTGGTGCTGGGCAAGTTTTCAGGGGGCACTGCAGGTGAGTGAGCCTAAGGAGAGCAGAGGAAGGAGGCTGGGTCCTTTCCCAGTGCTGCTACTGCCCCCATGAAGCACCCAGGCCAATCCCTTCTCCTCTGCGGGCCTTAGTTTCCCGCATCTGAGAAATGGCAATCATGAGACAGGATGGTGCAACAGTGAAGAATTTGGGTTCTGAAGGCAAACAGACCTGTATTTGAATCCATCTCTGCCACTTAGTACCTATATGACCTTGGGCAAGTCTTATCCCCCACTAAGCCTCAGTTTCCTCCTCTACAAAATGGGCAGGGAGGCCGGGCACAGTGGCTCATGCCTGTAATCCTAGCACTTTGGGAGGCTGAGGCGGGCAGATCACTTGGGGTCAGGAGTTCAAAACCAGCCCGCCCAACATGGTGAAAACCTGTCTCTACTAAAAATACAAAAAAATTAGCCAGAAGTGGTGTTGAGTGCCTAGAATCCCAGCTACTTGAGAGGCTGAAGCAAAAGAATCACTTAAACCCAAGAGGCGGAGGTTGCAGCAAGCTGAGATCGTGCCACTACACTCCAGCCTGGGCGTCAGAGCAAGACTGTCTCAAAAAAAAAAAAAAGAAAGAAAGAAAGAAAGAAAGAAAGAAAGAAAGGACAGGGAGGAAAAGAGGAGGTTGTGGGTACTGCCTGAGGCTCTGTTGAATGTTAGCATTCTCTGCTTTGGAAGAGGAACCAAGGAAATCTTCTTTCAGAGAAACAGTGACTGTTGGGGAGAGATTTAAAAGAGGGAAGTGGTTATGAGGGAGTGCCTCAGGGAACCCCCTTTCCTGCCCAGGCACCTAAGAGATTCCTCCCAGCTTTTCCTAGCAGAGTTGCTCAGGCTGGTTGGGAGCTGAGAGAAGACAAAGGAGCTAGAGGGAAGCTGAGGATTTTGGAGGGTGTAAGGGTGAAAAGCTGCTAGCTTTGCAGCCAGACAGTCAGTCCCAACTTCAAGTCCTGCTGTTGCTTTGGAGGCCAAGGTGGGCGGATCACCTGAGGTCGGGAGTTCAAGACCAGCCTGACCAACATGGTGAAACCCCGTCTTTATAAAAAAAAAAAAAAAAAAAAAAAAAAAAAAGTCCTGCTGTTTCTTTGACTAGCCTAGCCGAGTGACCCTGAGCAAACAACCTGGACCCTTGGTGCTGCTCACAGGGACTGATAAAATTCAATTCCTAGCTGCTTTGAGACTCGCATGGGATTATATCTCCAAAGGTGCCAGGCATGGAGCTGGGCACCAAGGTGCTTTCCATCCCCCCCTGCCAGGGGATTCCCTGAGCTTCCATAGTGGGAGGCCCTTTACCACCTATGACGCTGACCATGATTCGAGTGGGAGCAACTGTGCAGTGATTGTCCACGGTGCCTGGTGGTATGCATCCTGTTATCGATCCAATCTCAATGGTCCCTACGCAACGTCTGAGGCTGCTGCCCACAAATATGGCATTGACTGGGCCTCGGGCCGTGGTGTGGGCCACCCCTACCGCAGGGTTCGGATGATGCTTCGATAGGGCACTCTGGCAGCCAGTGCCCTTATCTCTCCTGTACAACTTCCAGACCCTCAGCCACCTCCCCTTTGCCAACCACCTCTGCTTGCCTGTCCACATTTTAAAATAAAATCATTTTAACCCTTTTAAGACTCTTCTAGTTACTGTGAAAAACTCTAGAGGGCAGACTAGGGACATAAGTTTCAGCTTGTGTCAGGAAGCTGGAAGGAAAGATGGAAAGGACAAGTTATTCACCCTGTGTCCCCAGTTCTTGATTTCAGGGTCCACTGAGGCTTATACCAGGTCATTAATTCACATAAGAAAGTTGTGGATTCTTGAGGATTTGAAGCTGAGAAGCTGTTGTAGCCCAAAGGGCTGGGGTTGTCTCCTTCAAGGGGTGGGTAAATAAATGTTTAGAAAGCCAGGCGAGGTGGCTCACACCCTGTAATCCCAGCACTTTCGGAGGCCGAGGCGGGCGGATCACGAGGTCAGAAGTTCAAGACCAGCCTGACCAACTGGGTGAAACCCCATCTCTACTAAAAATACAAAAAACATTAGCCGGGCATGGTGGCGCATGTAATCTCAGCTACTTGGGAGGCTGAGGCAAGAGAATTGCTTGAACTCAGGAGGCAGAGGTTGCAGGGAGCTGAGAGGGCACCACTGCACTCCAGCCTGGGCAACAGAGCAAGACTCCATCTCAAAATAAAATAAAATATGTTTACAGTGGGAAGTGCTTCTCAGAGCCTATGGTCACTTTCTGGATGGAAGTCAAAGGTCAGCGGGGCTCCACAGCAGGTTGGGTCCTAGGGAAAGCAGCCTCCTAAGCAACAGTAAAGGCTCAGATGCCAAGTCCCACTCCAGGTCTGAAGGCTTTTGGGCAAGCGGCCTGGGGTGAAGGTTTCCCCCATCCCAGTCCCTCCCTGCCTGCACTCACTGGGCTCTGGGGGACATACATTCAGGTGCTCTGCGCACCCTGAAGTCTCTAGAGAGCCATTCATTCAACAGCTTCCTGCAGGGCAGGGCCTGAGGATCAAACCTTTTCCCTAGCTCTGGCTTTGTCACACATTTTATTCTCGCTGGTTCGAGCAGTCCACAGTCTTCGGGGTGCTTGGGGGCACGAGGCTGTTCCGGAAGCGGCCAGTTTCCGAAGTTCTGGCAGGAGAGAAGGGAGGGGAGAGGCTGTCTCCGGCCGCTAGGGAGCGGCGCTGCCCCAGGGCCGAGGGTGGAGCTTTCCGGGTAGGCCGGGAAAGGGCTGGGCTCAGCCTGCATGTGAAGGCAGGACAGCCTTGGCGGCCGTTCCCTTGAGTCCAGGTGGCGGGCACCTCCGGGCCGATTCCCAGGATCCCCCAAGTGGCTCTGAGCTGCCGCTCACCGGATGTCCCAGATTCTGGCACCCAATTCCCGATTTCAGAACCTCAGGACCTTGCCAAGTCCGAGCTCGGATTTCTCCCTGGACTTTAGATTGTTGGAACGGGACGTCGGGCTGGATTCTGGATCCCCAGATCCCGTAGGAGATTCTCTGATCTCGACCGGATTCCGGATCCCAAGATTCCCGATCCGCCGGCCCAGGCTCCTGCCCCGCCCCGGGTTCCCAGTGCGCCACGCCCCGCGCCTGAGCGCCCCCGCATGGCGGGGCCGTGCCCCCGGTCCGGGGCAGAGCGCGCCGGCAGCTGCTGGCAGGACCCTCTGGCCGAGGCGCTGAGCCGGGGCCGGCCGCTCGCTACGCCCCCAGGCCGGGGCTGCGCGCGGAGCCGGCCGCTCAGCGTGGTCTACGTGCTAACCCGGGAGCCGCAGCCCGGGCTGGAGCCTCGGGAGGGAACCGAGGCGGAGCCGCTGCCCCTGCGCTGCTTGCGCGAGGCTTGCGCGCAGCTTCCCGGGCCGCGGCCGCCACCGCAGCTGCTTAGCCTGCCCTTCGGGACGCTGGCGCTAGGCGACACCGCGGCGCTGGACGCCTTCTACAACGCGGGTGAGTGCGCTGGGGGCGGGGCCGGATCCGGGCGGGGCCTAAAGTCCTGGGAAGGGACTAAACCGGGCAATACGGCTCAAGGGAGGGGCCGAGAAGGGTATCTGGTCTAAGTGACTTAGAAAGTGAGCTAAAGCTGAAGGGCTTGAGACAGGGCAGTGAAAAAAGTGGGATTTAGGGGACGTGGGGCGCGGCCGGGCTCGGGACGAGACAGGGATCCAGGCGCGGCTCCTGGGTTTGGAGTTGGGGCTTAGGCACCCTTCAGTCGGGGCAGTGCCCAGCGAGCTAGGCAAGGACGGGGCGGGGCTTTGGAATCCTGGGGCGGGGCAGGGCGGGGAGCTGCGCGGAGCTGCAGTGTCTCAGGGGTGGGGTTGGAGAACTCAGCCTCAGGAGGATGTCACGCGGATCTCTTGAAGACAATTCCTGGGAGAGGAGCTTGGACCTAGGGAAAGGGGCTGTACCAGGGAGGCTGGAGTTCAGGAGTCCTAGCATACTACTTCCGAGAATCGGACTGGGAAGGCAAAAAGAGAAGCGAAGAGACCCAATGAGACTGGACACCCGGCGAGGGAGATTAAGTAGCGTCAGAGGCCAAGAAAGAATGGGCGGGGCAAATGGGCGGAGAAGGATAGGCCAGGGGCGGGGCCAGATGGAGGCTATTCCCTCGTGGGTCACTCCTCCCTCCCCCCAGCCCGGATGCTCCGCCCCCGTACTTACTTGCCAGTTCAAGAGTTCGGGAGCTGTGCTTTCTGGATGTCCATGAAATCGCATCCTAAAATGAAGGCTGACCCGACCACTCGGGCAGAAAGACACAATTATCGATAGACACAAATCGCATACATGTTGACTCATGCAGGCCCTAGCAGACGCTGTCACACAAATGCAGTCAGACATAGTAAGCTATACATGTCACAGATACACACATACATACATGTAGGCACAGAGTTGTCTATGCACACTGATGGTAGCCTCTTTCAAGAGATTGTGTTGAAGACCTAGGGGAGAGGACTTCTATGTTTGCACAACTCCTGCCTCCCAAATGGCCTGGAACAGACTGAACCTGCCCACAGCCTCCCCTCCCCCATGCCAGGTGCTCACAGGCTCTGAACCGTGGCCTGAGGGTCTCAGCCCCGTGAGCCCAACCCCTCTCCTGCAACACCACAGAGATCAGTTCTGTGAAAGTACCAGGGGATCCTAAAAAGGGCCAAATGAGGCCCAGAGCAGAACCAGACCCTACTGGAGTCCCACAGCAAGATAGGCTGAGCCAGGATGGACCCTGTCTCCTTCCCCAACGAGCTGGGCTTCAGGGATCAGTGCCACCCACTCTGTGCTTGCAGATGTGGTGGTGCTGGAGGTGAGCAGCTCGCTGACACAGCCCTCCCTGTTCTACCACCTTGGTGTGCGTGAGAGCTTCAGCATGACCAACAACGTGCTGCTGTGCTCCCAGGCGGACCTCCCTGACCTGCAGGCCCTGCGGGTAGGTGGCGGGTAGGTGGCCTGGGACTGGTGGGGGCAGGCACAGGGCTGGGGTGGGGCCCACGCAGAACACCAGTATCTGACTGTCTGCCTCCTGCAGGAGGATGTTTTCCAGAAGAACTCGGTGAGCAGAATCCACCTCTCACTCGAAAGTGCCCTTTGACTTCCACTATGATCTTTGACCTCCACTAATCTTCCTGGCCTCCTCAGTCACCTAACGCCCCCTGACATCCATGTGTTCCTCTGTTTCCTGCTGCCTCCTTTCATGACGGTGCCCCTTTCCTGCGATTCCAACTCCCACTGGTGCTGACCTTTGACGCTCTCACTCCCCTTGTCTAGCCTTGTGCTGACCTCTGACCTCACTGATTCCTGCCTCCCTCCCACCAGGACTGCGTTGGCAGCTACACACTGATCCCCTATGTGGTGACGGCCACTGGTCGGGTGCTGTGTGGCGATGCAGGCCTTCTTCGGGGCCTGGCTGATGGGCTGGTACAGGCTGGAGTGGGCACCGAGGCCCTGCTCACTCCCCTGGTGAGCCGGCTTGCCCGCCTGCTGGAGGCCACACCCACAGACTCTTGGTAATGAGGGCCCCCAGGGACGGTGTCCCAGGAGGGGGCTGGTGAGGGTACAGAGGGCTGGGGCTGAAGTGCAGGCCCCACCATTCTCTCTCCCTGCCTCCCCTGCCCCGGGCATCAGTGGCTATTTCCGGGAGACCATTCGGCGGGACATCCGGCAGGCACGGGAGCGGTTCAGTGGTCCGCAGCTGCGGCAGGAGCTGGCTCGCCTGCAGCGGAGACTGGACAGCGTGGAGCTGCTGAGCCCCGACATCGTCATGAACTTGCTGCTCTCCTACCGCGATGTGCAGGTGTGTGGCATTCAGAGAGGCAGTAGAGCAGCCAGCATTTGAAGTCAGACAGACCCAGGTTCAGCTCCTGGCTGTGCCACTTGCTCCCTGGTGGCTTTGGGCAAATATCAAACATCTCTGAGTGTGGGCTTCCTTATCTGTAACAGAGGATAAGCATGTAAGCATGTTGCTGCCTCTCGGGGCAGTTGTGGGTTCGGAACGCCCAGCATGGGGCATACAGTAGGTTCTCCCTGTGAGGTGTGATGTCCACTGGGCCTGAGGGAGGTGTGCAGAGGATGGTGGGTGGGTGGGATGCCAGGGGTGGGACAGGACCCTGGCTCAAGGTTCCTCGGGGCCTGGGGGCCCATGATGCCAGTGCTTGCCATTCTCTGATGCAGGACTATTCGGCCATCATTGAGCTGGTGGAGACACTGCAGGCCTTGCCCACCTGTGATGTGGCCGCACAGCATAACGTCTGCTTTCACTATACTTTTGCCCTCAACCGGTGAGTGGCAGAGCAGGGGTTAGGTCACAGACACATAAAGGTTTCTGAAACCTGGGTCTCTGCTTTGCAAAGCCATTGCTGTCTGGGATCACTGCTGTTTGGGGAATTTGCTGACCAGGGTCCCTGATGTCAATAGGTCCCTGTTGTTCTGAGTTACTGCTGCCTGGGTGGGGGTAGGGGAGGTGGTGCTGCCCGTGGTATGGTCACAGCTGTCTAAGATCACTGCTCCTTAGAGTCACTGAATCTAAGACTTCACTTCCATCTGAGGTCACTACCCCTAGAGAGGTCAGTGCTGGCCAGGGTCACTGTCATTTTGAGGTCATTAGTGTCAGGCCCCTGGAAGGGTCCCTGTTGTTCAGTGTCTAGAGGTCCCTGTAGAGAGTAGGCCAGGGCCATCAGGGAGGGCCTGAGCCCATCTTTTCTTTTCCCTAGGAGGAACAGGCCTGGGGACCGGGCGAAGGCACTGGCCGTGCTGCTGCCGCTGGTACAGCTTGAGGGCTCCGTGGCACCCGATCTGTACTGCATGTGTGGCCGTATCTACAAGGACATGTTCTTCAGCTCGGGCTTCCAGGATGCTGGGCACCGGGAGCAGGCCTATCACTGGTAAGGAGCACAGTGAGTGGCCGGTGGGCTGAGCTGTGAGATGAGGGATGGTGCTATGGACATGGGTCCAGCCCTGTGCCCCCTGCCCCCACC